TGACAGCTGTGGTTTCACATTGTTGGGTATAAATAATAATAATAATAATAATAATAATAATAATAATAATAATAATAATAATAATAATAAAAACTTGTATACCCTGAAGAGTTCCTCATTGTTTGGAGGGGAGGGGGAGAGAGCTATCTTACAGCAGAGATGAAACATGGGTGCCAATGGTGCTAAGGAAGGCCAGAATCAGCCACAGCTAGCCCAAATCCTAAAATATTATTTCAGTTGAAGAAGTTAAAGAAATAACCCCACTTCTCCCAAGAAGCCTCATAAGCCTTACCCCACATTGCTTAGGATAAGGAGGCTTGGAGAGAGAGCAGTGGAAGGAGAACAAAGGCAACCTTACTTCTTGAACTTTATTAATCAATTAATCTTAAAACCAAATGACAGTAACATTTCATATTCTTAAAACAATTAGGTAAAAGAAATTCCAGGAAACTATTTACTCTAGCAAAATATTTGTTGACACTCTATAAATCAAGAGTGTTTTTCTCATTTAGTGATGAGATTCAATGGAGTTAGAAGATTTAAAGTCACCCATCTACGGGAAGGAGGCCAAACCATAATCCTTATCCCATAGGATTTCTAGATTCATTAACTATGATTGAATTGTATTTCATTTCTCATCTCAAAAGCTCCATTGGGTGGCTATTGTCATTACAGTATATTTCTGTATTAACTTTGGGACATTAATGTCCTTTGATCCCTAGCCTAAATCTTGGGAGACTGAATTTTCTTTTGTTATTTCTCTCTCTTTACTGGAATCTCTAACATAAGTGCAGTTGTTACATTCTATTGTACAAGATCTTGAACTTTGATATTTTGAGCTATAGTGATGTCAGAGAAATTGGCATCAAGGAAAGGGAAATAATTCTTCCCACTTTTAAGCTGGAGCTCATAGAAAGATTCAGATATGTGTGGAGTATATTAACATGAAATAACCTGGGAATAATAAAACTGGCAACTTCATGAAAGTAACAAATATCTAAAAATGGCTCAGAAACACTATTCACTGAATAGACATCAGTCCTTAAAAGACATTTTGACAGAACTGCAACCATTTCAAACTGCTGGCAACAGTATAGTGAAGCCTGAGCCAGGAAGAAGGCCAGAAATAATTTGTTTTGGAATTTTAGAACTCCAGCTGCATTGATCCAGGAATAGATATGCAGAAACCAAAAATAAAAGCAGAGGCAGAGGGGATTGTGCAGCTGGGCTGTGATCTTCCCTCTAGATTAAGGCAGTGGTGAGTGACAGTAAATGCCTGTAGTGCTGGACTTCAGAATCAATGGAATTGCTTTAGAACTTCTCATCTTTTCTATAGCACAACCCTATTAGACCTGGCCCTAAATTGAGGATTAACAATAAGAAATACCTGTGAAAGGGTGTTCCTGTGTGTGGGATGTGTTGCCGCATTTTGTGTTGCTGTATTGTATTGTTTGTAATGCTGTTTTTTTTCCTTTGTTGTAATTACAGGTAGCAAGCTGAGAAAATATTGTCACTTCAAATACATTGCCGTAGGATTATTCTTGGCAGTGGCTCTTATTACTTTAATCACTGTGGTTATTGCACAGAATTTATCTTCCACCAGGAACAGTAAAGTAAGTTACAGAAAACTCATCTGCTGAAGTGTTATGCCTCTAATCCTGTTAACTCAAATGACGTGCTGGAGGAGCTCACATGAAGACTAAAATCAGATGTGTGTTGAATGCATTCACTATCCCATGCCTCTTTTTGTTGGAGGCTTCAGGCAAGACTTATACCTCCCTTACTCTCCCAATAGAATCCCAGAAAAATTGCCTACAACACAAAGAATGCTCTCATTTTTAAGTCCAATATATCTTGTCCCCTGCCCATAAGTAACAGTCTTAAGCTTCCTTAACTGTACCACCCTTAAAGTAGCATCTTCCTTCTTATTCTGACAATTTTCAAGGATAGCCTCAGGGTGTATAAAATATGTTAAGCTTTCTCTCCCATTACCTTAGAAGGAAATTTGGTATCTGAAAATGATTGGGAACAGAAACGATAGAGGCAGGACAGGAATCAGCAATGGGGCAGCAAATTTAATGCCAGTATATTTTTTTGCTGGTGGAAGAATGGGTAGGTAGGATTATAATTCAGAAGTGGTTGTGGGGAGTGGCCCCAAATAGCAACAGACTTCAGGAAAGCTGCACTCAAAGCTCACAGATTCAAAGTGTCCTTGTTTAGGTATAAAGTAAAAAAAAATCTATATGGAATAGATGATAAAATGACACTTTTTTCTGTTTTAAGATGCAATCCCATATTGATCTTATGTCATATCTGTGTCAAGTGGGTCTTGAAGTACCATCTACAATGTCTTCTTATAGACCTGAACTTTCTTATATCTGATGTACATGGATCTTTATTCAAGTTTACAAATAAAGAGCCAGGAAAGCTGAAGCATAAAAAAGCCCTCATATTTGTTAATCCAATGGAACAACTCTTTTTTTACTTCTTATATCTTAGAGGATGCTATCATTTTCTCCTGAGATAAAGGAAATTAAAAAGAGAAAAGGTTTGCTTTTTTAAACAAACACAGGGTTAAAGAAGTTAGTTTTTGTTTTAGGTAAGAAAAACTTCTTAAAAGTAAGAGCAGTTTAATGGTGGAACTAATTATCAAGGTGGGTGGGGAACTCTTCTTCACTGAAAGTCTTCTGGACAATGCTGGATAGTTATTTATCAGGAAAATTTGTCCAGAGTAGAGGGTTGGGTTCAATAGTATAAATGCAGTTGTGATTCTGTTTGTAAGAGACAGTATGTGACACTGGTAGCAAAAGTACATTTTATCATCTTCTCCCAATACAGTATGCTGAAATTTACAAAGCAAAATTGTGGATTTGTGTCTCCTGCAGTATGGGATTGTGTTGGATGCTGGTTCTTCCCACACTAATGTGTATGTGTATGAATGGCCAGCTGAGAAAGAGAATAACACAGGAGTGGTGCGGCAGATTCATGTATGTGAAGTAGAAGGTAAGGACATGGGAAAATTGACTTTTTGTAATAAATCAGCCATCTTCAAACTGCTGGCCTCCAGAGATGTGGGACTTCAACCCTCTGAATTCCTGGCCAACGTGACCGCTGATGTTATAAGTGAGTGAAGGAGTAGAGAAAATAACATGTACAAAAATATTAAAAAATTAAAGTTGTTCCATTCTTTCCACTTAAAAGTGGTACCATGTCTTTGTAATAACCCTGCTCAACTCCTTTTTCCTACAGAAAAACTGATTCAGAATCAACAATGGATAAAATGAATTATGATTAATTACATAAAAACCTGTTTAAGATTCTGTCTTTTAGTCCTTCAACATAATTTAAGAGTTAAGATTAGTCTTGACTGCAGAATTTAAGCAGCCAAGTCCACCAGTTTAATGGAAGGAGCATATATGTGATATAAGAGAAGGAAAGGAAAAAGCACTTGCTCACTGTAGCCCTGAACAATCTTTTACTGCTGAAAAACACCACATAAAATTGTAATTTGTGTTCCTTGGAGTGAACTCTAAACTTTGCCAAAGGTTGCAGTTTATACTCTTGCACAGACTTACTGCTATTTTCAATTAATTTGAGTCTGTGCATGTAGATACTGACTATTAGTTTAGGCTGACCATTGTTATCCTCCCTGGGAATTACCATCTTGATTTAGTAGGAGACCTTGATCTATTTAGTATCTTTGATAGCAATGCCAGCTGGAGAAAGACTTCTTGATAGGGTCATCCTTGTCAGTAAGATGACAAAGGGGAAGGTAAAGCTAAGAGTAATCTGCAGTAGAAGTGAGGGTAGATGGGGCTCTACAAGCATGAGGGAAACCAATCCACTTAGGAGGAGAAACTCCAAAAGAACACCTAGAACATAGCACTGAAAAACCACTTCTGTTATATTGGAGTAAGGAATAAGGCTGGTGAGACAGGAACTGTTCCCAGGCTCAAAGAAACTGTTTATAGCAACATGGATCAGGTACCTTTCAAAGATGGGATGTAAAGGTGAGGTGAAAAAGCCTAGAATTTAAACCTTTGAATAAAGTTCTGTATGAGGGCTTTGATTTCTGTGTACTGCAGTGCAGTAACTTTATGTATTTATATGACTTCACTCATGTCTGCACTGAAGAGACTAATCTGAGTCATATCTGTGAGCCTTCTGCCAAGTAGGCCAAGACGTAAATAAGGGATTAAGTGGATGGAGTCAAGATTTACAGCCATGCCTCCTGTGAACCTTGACAGTTGCCAAGAGAATGTTAAGATGTAAGTAAAATATTTGGACAGGTTTGAGTGCCAGATGATGAATTCCCAAATTGAAAGGTGTTCCTGTAGTTACTAGGGGACTATAGGTAAGAGCACCAAACTTTTCACAAGTAGATCTGGAGATGAGCATGTGGCCAGACCAAAGCCACAGGGAAGTCTGGTTACCAGAGGGCATGGGAGTGGGGAGAGGGGAAGGGGGCGTGTAGTCAAGAGGGGCCAATGATGAAAGCAGCATTCCACTGCCACAGTGCAAGCTCCACCCTTTTATGCTTACATCATGATGTTGCACGGGCATATGAAAGGGGCAGCGCTCATACTGCAATGCTGCTTTCATCATTTTGACAAAAACCTTTGATCCTGTGTATGCCTCTGCTGGACACTGATAGTGCCACTATTGAAAGAGGAGTTTCTTATTTTACAAGGACACATTCAGCTGGAGCATGGCATGTGAGAAGCATGAACCAAGAAAAACCTGATATTGTCAGAAAGGAATGGAGCATACTAAACCGGATGTTTTAGGGATAAGTGGACTGAAATGGACCACTTTAAATCAAATGATTATACGATATACTGTTCAAAACCATGTGGAGGAATGGACACAGTATTTGCCAAAAAAGAATATCACAAAGTATGTGCATGGCTATAGCTGAACAATTAAGAGGATTGTCTCTGTTAAAATTAATGGATACCAAGTTAATGTCAATATTATTCATACAAAGGTAATGTACCAACTACAGATGCAACAGTGGAAGAGGTTGGCTAATTCAGCTTTTATTTTGGAAAGAATTTGGATTTCTTAGGGCAAAAAATATTTCACAGAATACCCAGCTCTGAACTAAAATGGTTGAAAATATTCTGCTTTTCTTCTCTCAGGTCCAGGAATCTCATCTTATGCCAATGCTGTGGAAAATGCCAGTGTCCCCCTAAAGCACTGTATGGATTCAGCAAAGGAGATTGTGCCACAGGGAAAGCATCAGGAGACTCCTGTTTACCTAGGGGCAACAGCTGGCATGCGGCTGCTGAGGTACCCTAGGAAATGCTGTCTGCACTTTCTTTTTTTTGAAAGGCTGTGTCTCCTAGGGATGAGGTCAGAAAAAACAGGCTTTTAAGGGTTTATTTGGATTGGACATGATGAGAATTTCTCATCAGTTCCCCATGAGATGCTTGCATTTCACAAGCCCACAATTTGTGCATTTGGTTACATGTGAATGTGTCCGACTGAAAGAATAAAGGGCAGTTCAGTTTAGCATGTATCTCTGCATCTGGCACAACAGTGTTGCATACATTCCTCTCTCCCATATTCTTTCAGCTTCATTGGCTTTGTGGGTTAGAATTCTTAGCTAACAAAAGCCCGTGAGGGTGGGAACAGAAGGTATCCCTCCATATGTAAACTATGATTTCTAGAATTCTGCCATAAGCCATGCTAAATTAGGGTGTACCATTGATTTAGGTACCTATTCCACAGGCCACCTGCTTTCTTTCTATACCAGTGTTACCATAGTCACTCAAGGCCTTGGAGACAAACCTTTTGGGAAGACTCCCATCTGTAGCTCATATCTAGAAAACATGTAGAATTGCTTGAAAGCTCTTTTTGGTGTCACATTATTCTTATTTTAAGAACACCCTTATGAAAGTAACCAGGAAAAGGCTGAAGGTTTTAATAGAACAGTAGGCCAGATCTATATAAGTCTCCCTCCTTCTCCCATCTTCCAAAAATTCATCTTGGACACTAGGATCTTATTTTCTGGCCATTTTCCAGAATGCATTTTCAAGAAAGAAATGAAACATAAGAATTGTCCCTGAGGAATCCTATATAATCCTATATAATTCCCCCTTCTTTCTCCATACAGGTTGAAAAATGAGGATGTTGCTGGAAGGGTCCTCTCTGCAGTAGGAGAAACATTGCGTATGTATCCCTTCAAGTTCCAGGGTGCCAGGATTCTTGGTGGTGATGAAGAAGGTGTCTATGGCTGGATCACCCTTAATTACTTGCTGGGCAAATTCACAGAGGTAATATGACATGCCAGAAAGGCAAGTGATACACCAGGAATTCTGGCTTGGCTTGCTTCCTAAGAGTCTTTGTGATCCTCAATTCTATTCAGAGCTCTAGGAGATTATGAAATGTTAAAATGTAATGTAAGCCTGCAAATTCCACAGGGTTATCATAGGGTTGAAGGGGGATACTGACCCCAACCCCATATTAAAGAATGACTGTTAGAGGGCTGTCCACTTCAGCTTCAACTCATCTAGCAAAGGGGAGCCTAGTATTTGGTAATTTGTTCCATTGCTCTTACTGTTGCAAAGTTTTCATAGCATTCTATTGGAATTTGCCTTCCTGAAATTTAAGACCTTTATTCTAAGTTCTTCATTCTGGGAAAATAGAGACGAGGTCATGGCCATGTGGCTGACTGTGTGATGCTACTTTCATTTTTGTGCTGAGGTCTTCTGTCCTGTTGTAGCCCCCCAGATCTGACTGTTATATCTCTCAGTCTAGCTCTGCAATTTTCTGCCATCTGATTTGTTCTTCTTGCAGTCTATCTGGCCAAAAGTACTGGGCCATACTTTCTTCAAAAGTAGGACAACAGGAGCACTGGATCTTGGAGGAGCATCTACACAGATTACCTTTGTACCAGACCCAAATAATAATGAATCAGCAGATACCGTAAAAGTACATCTCTATGGAAAGGAATACATGGTATATACACATAGCTTCTTATGTTATGGGAAGGACCAGGCTCTTCACCTCAAGCTGTTACATGATGTTTTTGTAAGTCATGGGTATCAATCTCTTGGTTAGATGGTGTGGGATGAAACATACTGCTTGTTTATCCAGTAGGCTTGTTTCCTTTAATAATGCAATTATATTGTAATTCCTGAGCCTTATACAGTGAGGAGCTCTTGGCTCTTGACTGTCCTGGAAACTTCTACCTTATCATCAGAAAATAAGACCTACTAAACATAAATAGGAAACTTTGGCCAGTGAGCCAACTCCAACCCATCAGATCAGAGAATCCAATTCACAAAACCTCAGTATTCTGACCTTGTCACTTCTAACCGCTCCCACTAGAGGTATCTACAGGATAGGATCCAATGAAAGCAACATCACATCATTGTGACACAAATTCCACCCTTTTGGTACATGTGTGGAATGTCACAAGATATTACAGATGGGGTGGAGCTTGTGTCATAACAGTACAAATCTGTTCCCATCATTTGTGCCCTCTCGAGCCACTCTGCAGATGCCTTGCTTTCTGATTGGCTGAAGCTAGCAGTGAGATACCCCTGTAGTTTCTGCAGTCTGAAGCAAGCAAGAGGTGGCTGGTCTTCAGTTACTTTACCCTTTCTCCTGTCAAACTGTGAAACAGAACATACCAATGTATATTCTCTTAGTATAAGAGACCTTGATCAGGTGGCACGGAAGACCATTACGGCTGGAGACCTCTTCTGCTGCAGTGGATGACCAGGATACCTAAGTGTCTTCTTGTGCTTTTAGTGCTCCACAATGCCTATGAGTGCTGTTTGACTTTCAGGCCTTGACACTTTGTTTTTAATCCAGCAAGGTGCAGACGTTCCAGCTCTGAAAATGAGGTTTTTTTTATTAGTTTTTCTTGATGGTCAACCACTAAGGAGATGATCTGCCAGCTGCAGTTAGCTAGCCAGATGTTGTGGGGCAGGCAATGTTTAGGGTACCTTTTCTAACTCCCTCAT